CGACAAAATGTAAAATTGAAAAAACTGTTAAGCATGTATGTATAATGTTGCCGTTCTGTTATTGATGTATCATGCATGTCAGCCCCAGGCTTGTTGCAACGCAAAATGATATTACGTTGCTTATTGCACATTTTGCAACATTTTCCAAATGAAATGTCCAGTGAGTGGGGCTAAAAGTGCATTCATTTTTATTGGAAACAGGTGAACATGAATTTGGCAATGTTTTATTACGTTTTATTACTTCACATTCCAAGTGTAATGCTGTACCGGGTGCGCTCCCGAGTAAGTTTACTAAATCAGAAAAGACGAACATATGGAGCTGGTTATGTGATACAAACATCAAAATGTATTAGTTTACAAATCATGCACTACGGTAAAAGTGTTTTGCGCATAACATAGCATTGTGCAGGGAACCACACAAAAATAAGGCTCTATTAACCAATCATCTGTAATTATAATTGGTGTAAAAAGAAATATAAGTGGTTGGTGTTTTACTATGTTGAAATGTCTGCAAACGGTCTGGTCTCACTGTTATGTAGGTATCAGTACGTGACATTTACAGGTACAAAACATACATTTTTTAATATGCTTTGATTGATGCTGAAACACAATCTGGATGAATTTTAAAAAATCTAAAATGTCAACATTATTATGTATGAACTGAAAAACGTCAAATATTTATGACTTGTTTGTAGTATAAATATATTTGTATAGATGCATTTTATAATTTTATGATTTGGGTTTTTAAATCCAAAGCCAAACATAGACACTTTATAGAAAAGAAAAAAAAAAGAAAAGAATGTAATGTAAGAAATTAAGAAAAAATTGAAGTTCAATAAAGTAGCATAAAATATCATTTCAGTAACATTATAGCATTAAAAATATATTTTTAGTGGTTTGGTGCAGCAAACACCACTAATAATGTGCAAAATACTAAGTACACAACTGCAAAATCTACTGTAAAAAACAGACAGTATGAATTCAAATGCTGTATGAGCTTCACACTGATGTGATATTTGTGCAGAATTACAGTTTCCCGTATTTCCACCCACAGGAATCACATCTGCATCACATAACCTGATGTTCATCCATCTTGGAAAGTATAATCCCACCTCAAAATGAAGATTAAGACTGAAAAAACAAACGTTTCACTGAAGAACAAGCTTCACATTTGCTCTTAAACCCTCTGGCCTACAAATATATTCCTGTAAACATGTTTTCTGTTCTTCAACAGAAAGACTGGGCTGCACAAAATGATGTGTAGGATAATAAATACTGACAGTATACACTATAAATATCGTTCATAAGCATAGAAAAGACAAACATATCCTAAAACAAATTTTCCACCTCAGTAATTGGTAAATCACCGTTGGACACTCCTGTTTCTCTACTTTTTAAGGAATCCTGTTTGTTTATTTGGTCCTTTTGCTAAAGTCTTTGGCCAACACTGCAGTCGGTGGTTTGGACATCAGGGTCCTTTCAAGGCTTTCCGCTTGTCTGTGACTTTTAACTGAAAAGATTCATTTATTTGGAGAACATATTAGAGAATATTAACTTTGGTAAAAGTATTTCATAACATTATTCATCAAAAGAACCACTGTGGAACTTCTGCAAGAGGTTTATCAATGATGAGGAGATACAGAAACTTTCCAAACTCACTTTAACCTGAATCAGGTCCCAACAAAAAATATCAGAACAGACCTGTGACACACACACACTCTCACACACACTCTCACACTCAGACTCAGACTCAGACTCAGACTCAGATTCAGACTCAGACTCACAGACACTCACTCTCACACTCACTCTCACAGGTTTGTTTTTATGGTTTATGGGGACTCTCCATAGGCGTAATGGTTTTTATACTGTACAGACCGTATTTTCTGTTGCCCTACACCAACCCTACCCCTAAACCTACCCCTCACAGGAGACTTTCTGCATTTTTAGATTTTCAAAAAAACTCATTCTGAATTATTTATAAGCCTTTTGAATTACGGGGACACTGAAAATGTCCTCATAAATCACCTTCTCGTTGTAATACCTATGTCATACCCATGTTATTATACAAATTTGTGTCCTCATAAACCACATAAACATGCACACACACACACACATGCACAGTCACAGACACACAAACACACATACGATGTAAATGTATCTTGTCTTAAGAATATTTAGTTATTTCTGCTGGAAACAGCACAAAATCTAGTTGAAGAAAATGCTTTTTCCCTCTTATTTGTTGATGTGTACACTACTGTAACTCCAGCAGTGTTCAGAGACAGCAGGAGACAAGAACTGGCTGGAGTCTCATGTCACACTCGAGCAGACTTTGATCAGAGCCACAGGTGGAGAGGAGGCAGCGTCCCGCTCAAGACCCATTGCCCTTAAGCAAAGAACATATGTTTGCCCTCCGTGAGAGCTTCAAGCACACTCACTAACACTTGGGCTTTGTGGAGCGCTTTGAAAGGCTGGGAGAAACAGAAACTAGGAGTTGCTTTTTTGTTGTTGTTGTAGAAGAGCTTGGCCTTCCAGGACACATAAAACATCTAAGCAAGCAAAGCTTTCATTAGAAGAGCAGCGAGTCTGTTAGAGAAAACACAAATGTGGATTGCGGCGGCCTGTGGAGCTGGACCCAATAACTACTCTGACTCTGGCCTGACATCTGTAGGTGTGTTTGGCTACATAAAACATGTTCTATGGTGAGCAAACGCTCAAAGCGTGCAGTTTGTGGAAAAGATGTCTCAGATATAAAAATAAACACAGTCCGTCCCACTCATGTACGTCCAGTTTTAACACATGCAGAATGTCTAGACGACAAAATGTAAAATTGAAAAAACTGTTAAGCATGTATGTATAAATGTTGCCGTTCTGTTATTGATGTATCATGCATGTCAGCCCCAGGCTTGTTGCAACGCAAAATGATATTACGTTGCTTATTGCATATTTTGCAACATTTTCCAAATGAAATGTCCAGTGAGTGGGGCTAAAAGTGCATTCATTTTTATTGGAAACAGGTGAACATGAATTTGGCAATGTTTTATTACGTTTTATTGCTTCACATTCCAAGTGTAATGCTGTACCGGGTGCGCTCCCGAGTAAGTTTACTAAATCAGAAAAGACGAACATATGGAGCTGGTTATGTGATACAAACATCAAAATGTATTAGTTTACAAATCATGCACTACGGTAAAAGTGTTTTGCGCATAACATAGCATTGTGCAGGGAACCACACAAAAATAAGGCTCTATTAACCAATCATCTGTAATTATAATTGGTGTAAAAAGAAATATAAGTGGTTGGTGTTTTACTATGTTGAAATGTCTGCAAACGGTCTGGTCTCACTGTTATGTAGGTATCAGTACGTGACATTTACAGGTACAAAACATACATTTTTTAATATGCTTTGATTGATGCTGAAACACAATCTGGATGAATTTTAAAAAATCTAAAATGTCAACATTATTATGTATGAACTGAAAAACGTCAAATA